GAACGCTCATCACAGAACAGAGCAAGGTGAGCATTTGTGCTTATAAAACGTAAACTTTTTTTATTTATTTTTTAAATGACTGATCGTTTCGCTAGATATTATTAAGACCCTTATTCATCATCTGGAGTCGTTTAAAGCCCTTTGAAGCTGCACTGAAACTCATTTGGAGAGTTTGGTGCCCAATTTGGTGCCCAATGAAGTCCATTTATAGTCCCTTTAACCTTTATTTAACCAGGGAAATCCTTCGACAACACGTCTCTTTTGTGAAGGAGCCCTGGCCAAGAAGGCCGCAGTAAAGGTTCCACATAAAATACAAAATAAAATGAATACAATAAACATACTAGACATAATAGATTAACAATTACAATGAATCAGCCATGCTTAAAGTACAATACAATGACCTTACAACATTTAAATATAGTATGTAACAAATACAATTCAATACACTTATCCTAATTTGGGAATTTGCCCATTGTGCCTGCTTCCCGATACTTTACTAGCCTCTTGAAGAGACCAAAGGAGACCAAGTTATCAACTATACTGAGCGAGCAAGCATATTAAACTGCAAAAAGACTATTTAAATATTAACCCTGCATGTTCTGCTTGTCTGTGTGAATGAACGGCGCAGAAGCACGGTTTCATTTAACGTTAACTTACCTCACACACACACACACACGTATGAATCAGGAAATATACATTTGAAACATTTTGGAGAGATTTGATATGACTCACTGCATACCAAGATCAACCCCTTGTGAAATCAATGTCAAATTTGACAATGATGGTGAACCTGTTGACTTAAAGAGGTATAGTGAAGTGATTGGCAGTTTAATCAATATGATGACGGGTACTCTCCCAGATTTTCAAGCTTCATTGTTAGTAAAATGTCACAATATGGTATCTATAAGGGGATCGAATGAACAACCCTGGGTGGCTGCCAAACATGTTTTGAGGTGTTTGAAAGGTACAGCAGACTTGGAATGTAATAAGAAAAGTGATGTAAATCTGAAACTTGTGGCTTATAGCAATGCAGACTTGGCAGTAGACTTGAATGACAGGCATAGTATTACTGCCTGCTGTTTCAGTTTGTCTAGGAATGTGTCTGTTGTCTCTTGGAAGTCTAAAAAACAACAAACTGTTGCTTTATCCACATGCGAAGCAGAATACATGGCTTTATCAGCTACTGCACAAGAAAGCTTGTATCTGACCAATGCTTGTATCTAATCAATGGAACGGATAATGTACTTGTATGTACCAGTGACTATTTTTGGGGATAATCAGGGTGCTATTGCACTTTCAAAGAATCCAGTGTGTCGACAAAGATGTAAGCACATTGACGTAATGTTCAGTTTGTACTAAATAATTCTTTATTATTGTCCTACATCTGATATGGTGGCAGACATTTTAACAAAATCTGTGTCTAAAGCTAAAATGGATAAATTTATGTGTTTTTTATTTGGAACGTGAATGAGTTGTTATTCAGAGATGTATCTATATGACGCATTGTGATATACTCTGTCAATTTAAGAACAAGTAAGCTTTGACTTTGACTACGTTTACATGCAACCAATAACCGTTCAAAACTGGGATATTAGCAATAGCCCAGTCGCGAACGGCCATGTAAGGACTGGCAAAACCCCGAATATGCTCATATCCCGGATTTTAAATACCGGGATGTTATACCTCGGGTATCCTTTTTCTAACCAGAATTTTTGCTCATGCTCACGCATATCGGCATATCCCCATAGTGATTTGTGTTCTTCGCATGTTCTATTCGCAAAGAATCTTAGTCTTTAGTTTTGAGTAGAGAAACTTCTCAAATATGGCAAGACACAGCACAGCATACTTTTGGAGTGAGGTCACCAGCATCAAAGCGCAAACAAAGGCGATCGCTATATGCCCCGAACTATTCATTATCCGCGTGCTGCTGCTGTTGTTGTTTTCTTTGGATACAGGAAGAGGAATCGGAAATGACGTATATTGCATCTTAAGGTTGTCCGTACATCTAGACGCGTGTCGCCGTTTACATCGGGATATTGCAATTCCATGTATACAGGAGAAACTCTCTCTCTGCTCACGCATGTAAACGGGTTATTCCTAATGTTTCAGAAACCCGAATAGTGACCTTAACCCGACCATAACCCGAATATTTGCAGCATGTAAACGTAGTCACTGTGTGTTCTCAGGTGTGCAATCATTAATAAAGTGGCCGCCGCTCTATTGTGAGTGTGTGTCCTTCGTCATGTTACCGGTTACCTAGCTCTAATTGAGATGGCAGCGCCAACACTCGTCATATATCGTACATGCACAGAAACTCAAAGGTCTTCACGGCAACCCGTCAAAATAAAAGTTTGGTTTAACTTAAAGAAATTGACAGAAATAATTATATCAGGCTACTGCACAATAGATTTAACTACGCCTCCAGTAATTAAAAATACTACCACTAATAATAATAATAATGTGTGCATTAGGTTGCTTATTTTTCACTTGATTTTTTTTTATAAGCAATATTTCTAAATATCATCAATATTTTCGTTTAAACAGCATGTAGCCTTCAATGCTTTCATAAATTTACTGTCATAAATAATAAAGTCATTGAATTGAATTTTAATCATTTATTGTCATTGAAATAAATTGGAAAAATAGTTCAAACTGATTTTGCTGTGGTACCAAAATTGGTACTGAAAAAAAAAAAAAGATCTGTTGGGTGTTTTGAGCTGAAACTTCACATACACGTTTTGGGGACATCAGAGACTTATTTTACATCTTGTGAAAAGAGGCATAATTTGGGACCTTTAATGCTTTAATAACAAATCATTTATTAAGAGCATTTATGCTGATGTGTATGGTGGCGACTGGCGACACGTAGGCTAACTTAAAAGTATTTGGAGGTATACTGTATAGGAAAAAAGTATTTTTGCGGGCGGGAGCGGGACAAAACATAAATGTTGCGTGCGGGAGAAAGTAACTATAGAAAGTATTTGAGAAAGTCAGTTATAATAATGACCCACGTATTAAAAATCGTCTAATTTCAATCGGGCTCATAATTATAATTTCTTATCTTTATGTTTTGCACATTGCATTATCTTCGTGAAAAAAAATAACCTTTAAGACTGCACAACTGGAGAAACTGGTTGAGGAACTACCACTCCTCGAGTGGACAAAGGACCTTGAAAATGAACATTTGAACACCCGATCGTGCACTATTGAGACAAAGGTCTCACCTCCCTCATCCTCCATTCTTCACCCTTGCAGAGATTAATCAAACTCACACAAGAATCTGAATGGTTTTATGTGAATGATTATCATCACATTTTACACATGTTTATCATTAGAAAATGTCTAATTTGCAATAGAGATACCCTCCTTTGTGTGCATGGTGGGGTGACTTTAAAATTGTGTATTTAAGTTTTCATTTCGATTCCTTCCCACTCTGCACTGCTGTTGGTGATTAAATGCTCACTGTGCTTCATTTACATGTGCATTCAATTTGTGCTGTTTTTGTTCTTGCAGCTCTGCACTGCAATTGGTGCTTAAATGCTTGCTGTGCTTACAGTACTTGCTGTACTTGATGTGCTTTAAGGACATTTACATGTACACTTAATTTCTGATGTTTTGTTCTTCAGCCTCCACACTGCTCTTGGTGCTTAAATGCTTGCTGCACTGCTGTGCTTGCTGTGCTGGCTGTGCTTGCTGTGCGCCATGCTTGGTCTGCTTGCTGTGCCTTGCAGGGCTTGGCCCTGTGTTGCTGCTTGCAGCTATATTATGAATTGATTTTCTGGGTTCAAGGTTCTAATTCAACCAAATGAATAAGAAACCAAGCTCCAAAAAAACTGAAATAAATTAGAACACGAGAAATGGCATTAAAGTAAAATTGAATTTAAGCCTATTAAACACAAATTGATGTACAAAAACATGATTTAAATACCAAAGTAAATAAATATAATACGAATGGATATAATTAGATCAAATAACCAAAGTAAAAGGAAACTTTGTAAAGACATTTTCCTGGTCTGGCTGGTTTTTGTGTTAAACCTCATTTTTGCGGTTTTGGTCAGAGTTCTGGTCTATAGCACGTATCCTGACAATACGTGAATGACGCACACAGAAAAGGATCCGGCGCACAACAAATACCTATTACGCATACCGGTACGGCCTGTTTGAAGAGCAGTTTTACTTCGTCACCCCCACAGAAAAATCTGCTTTGAATGTTTGAACTCTTTGGTATGTCACATTGTCACGCAAGGAAATATTTTCAAATCATTGAATTGCTAAAAACAAAAATGTTTTTTAAAAAAAGTTAATATGTATAATTATAGTGTATGATCAGAAATAATTTTCAACCAAAGTAAAAAAATAAATACAATTAAAAATAAGGACAAACGAAACAAACAAATAAGATTGTTCTTAACATCTTGACTTCATACTTTGATTTACATACAATATATACAACACAAGCTAAAACATAATTTGGCATAAACATGGCACATTGTTAAAATGTACATTCATGAAGATCCATCAGTGATGAATACATCATCTGATAAGGTCTTCAATATGTGATAAATCACCAAAGATAAGTTCTTCTAAAAAGCTAAATGTGTTAACCGTGCCCCTATACAAAACTAAACATTCAAAGGTTGCCTAGAAGTGAATTTGAGGTGGTATGAGATTAAGGTATGTGCTTTAAAGACACAGTTTTGCATTTTGCCTATAGGTGCAAAACAAAACAAAAAAAACTATTTGCAAAAAGCAGCTTTGCATGACAAATTTGTTCACCTCTTGTTATTTCCCAGTGAACACCTCAATAATACAGTTGCACATGGTGTCAAACTCAAAACTGCCACTATGTGCGCCGGTACAGATGTTACGTGAGGTATTTTCAAAGTAGTGGTACCAAATCAGCACCAAACTCAAATGTAGAAACCTGCACAAAAGAGAAGGCTAAAACATCAATGCAATAATAAAATGTAACCAAATATTTAAATAAAAGGGAAACTTACCCGGTCACAGGTATGCATGGCAAATACAAAAGTGAGGAAGCCAGTGGATGGATATTATCCCCTTTTCAGCAACCATATCTCATGGATATACCTAATGAAAACAGGACGTAGAATCAGTTGCACACTGCTCATACAGTACCCGGTTTATTACATGGCTCTTTGGAATACTTGACTCTGATTGGTCAATAGCTTCGCGTTCGCACCCTCATCATTCTATCGGGGGTTCATTTGAGAGAACCACCGGCTGGATGTTCATTATCCCTTACATAACAGTTAATCCTGGTTCTCAAATGAATATAATATTTTTTTCCCCTTCTTAAATGGATAGTTCACCCACAAATAAAAATTCGGTCAGTTTTTACTCACCCTCATGTTGTTCCAACCCCGCAAGACCTTCGTTCATCTTCGAAAACTGACAAAACTGACTGAATTTTCATTTTTGGGTGAACTATCCCTTTAAAAGTTACAAATAACCTATAGGCTAATACTCCACCCAATGACGTTCAAATTGCTCCAAACTGGTGGCGGTTCACTTGTGCTTGATGTAGATGTTCAAAACAAACCCTAATATATATTTGTTTTTAATATTTAATGAAAAGAAAAAAACACATTTAGAAACTGTTGTGTAACTTTTCACCTTTGTGCACAATTTGTGTTGTTGCAATGATCTATTTCCACTCTTTAGACATCATAAATCTCGATCATACCTGTGTCATTCATTGTGCATGTTTTTTTGTACTGTCTATTGAAGGGAGGAAAATAATAACAGTGTTTGTTTTTATGGCACAATGAACAGCACCTAAAGCGATTTGAGTGACATGGGGTGGAGAGTGATATCCCACACAATAATAATTATGTTTAAATTCTTGAACAACAAACCAGCACGGATTTGGTGATCATTTCATTAAATGTGTGACAAATGTGACAAACAGCGAAATGTGCCGGTGTTCTCTGAAACAAATAAAAAACCCGCAGTTATCAAATATATTCTTAAGAATTTTTCTTTTATCATTAACAGGGTTTGGTGTTATCTGATTTTGTTTTAACAAAAAACAAATTTCTTAAAGACCATTTCTTTCTGGGGCATGCATGTTTATGAAATGTGATTGTTGAATGCCCTTTCCCCCACTGAACAAGAAGGATTAGCTTCTAAGAATCAGTACTTGATTGCAATTCATTCTTGATTTTATTGTAACCATTTGTACTCTGTGGCATTTTCAATCTGATAAGCATTCCGTTTGTTGACGGTGAATATTTTGGTCACATTTACAACCTACAAAAATATTAAAGTGTCATTCTTTGCAAAGTGACCCTTCTCCAGTTTGATAAATTCTTTAAAATGATTTTAAACATTTTATTAGACAAATAAATCTTTAGGTACATTACCTTAGGACTTAATTAGGCATTAAGGTTGGTCTGAAGTTACATTGCTCATAGCATAGGTGTGGTTTGGGTGTAACATGAAATAAACAATCAGAGCGACATCTCACATTGAGCAGGAGCGCTTGTTCCATGGTGGAATGCTATTACGTACATAAATATTAAACTGCACTCTCTAGCTATTATCTCATTTATTTATTAAAACCATATCCACACAGACAGGTTTCTGCCTGAGCCATCATCAGTGTTTGGAATGCTTTTATCTTTTTACGTATTATTATTATTATTATTATTTTGCTACCTTTTGGGCACTTTTGAGGCCCTTAACGTGCTCAAACTCTTGAAACTTTGCACTTGGGTCAGAAACCACGGCCATCAGGGCAGGGCTGAAGCTGGTACCCAGGCACGGCAGGGGGGCTCGACAGCGTCCCCTTGAATGGGGTCCGAAAACGTGGTCCATAAATCAAACACGCTTGCATGTAATAATATGAAACTCGGTACACATATAGATCTCATCGTTTCATATATACTTCATACTATTACTTTTTACCCCAGCTCAACAGGAAGTCGGCTATTTAGGGTTCTTTGTAAAACACGCGCAATGGAATTTAAAGTGTTAAACAGACCCGGGACCCGAAGTAATAGATTCCGACCCGGACCCGGCTGATCATTTAAAATATAGACCCGAATCCGTATGGGTCCCGGGTCGCGTCTCGGGTGCACTGTGAAGACCTCTACTTCACACTCTAACTTTTTACCCCAGCCCAATAGGAAGTCGGCTATTTAGGGTTGTTTGTAAAAAAACATGCAATGGAATAATTTAAAGTACTTCTCTAGAGAATTCAAAGAAATGCCACAAAACTCGATCAGCGAAGTCAAGACATTGAGGATAAAAAATTGCCAGGGGATTTTTGATATCTCGAACGGTTTGGCCGTGGCGAGGAAACAAAATTACGGCGAGAAACATGAAACAGGAAGAGTGTTATAACTTCTGCATACATTAACTGATCTTGATGAAACTTCAGCAGTGTGTTCGCTGTCTGCTGTCTTTTGTGGGCGCAGTATTGTACAAGGGGATTAAAATGCACAATAGACAAAGCGGAGTTCAGAGAAGGATATTCCCATGGTTCGACTTGATGGACGGTGTGCTGGGTCACCGTCCCTCTGTTCGTGGCGAATCGCGAGACAATCGGGACACTATTGCAGCCACGGCCGGTGAGTTAATTTACATGTTATCTTCCTAACTTAAAAAATAAATTAATTCATAATACCCGCTGAAATGGGTTGGGTTGTATGTTGTTTGATCCAGAAAGGTATGTTAGGGGCGGGGTTTAGGGCAGCGCTGCGGGGCTACTGGCTCGGAAGTGGAAACGCAAGCCCGGTGCTTGAGACCTGAGGCCACTGGCTCGACTCGGCTAGGCTCGCTGTTAGCTCTGGCCCAGCCCTAGCCCGGCAGTGGAAATGCGGCTAATGAGGGTATGATTATAAAAAAACACAAGTAACACTTTAGTTTAGGATCTAATGCTCACTATTAAACAGTTTCATTACCATGCAAAGGCAGGGTTTTATAATCACTGTGGTCCCGAATGTGATGTAGGTTAGCTAGGGGGGTTCAGAGTTTCCACAAGAAAATTTTGATTTCTCTGATCTACATATGTGCATTTTAAGATGTTTTGAAGGCCAAAAAAATTGGATAACAGCTTTAAAACCAGTGGGCAGCAGATTATTTTTCTCTATTTTTCTACCATCAGTGGGAAACAAAAAATTGATTAAAAGTCAGTCACGTCCCAAACTAAACTTGAAGCCAAACCTTAAAATATGATTGGTTGATAGAAATGTTGTTCCAGGACTAGCAAGGTTGTGGATCCAAGAACATGCCGTACTTCACTTTTGGAGTATCAATACAAGTATAACTCGGTTACTCTCCTAAAAATAAAGGTTCCAGAAGGTTTTTTTCTTTCTTCGCAGCAATGATAAATACCCATTTTGAGTTCCTTACAGTAAGCAGTTGTTACAATTTGTGTGTGTGTGTGTGTGTGTGTGTGTGTGTGAAGAACATTTTAATAATCTGGTAAACCCTTTTCCATTAAGAACCTTTTGTGAAACAGAAAGGTTCCATGAATGTTCTTCATTCTTAGAGAATACACATACAGTTTGACCTGAAGGGATGCATATGGAGAATCACTGGGGTGTCCAGCCACAGGTGGAATATTTCAACCCCAGGGGTAGCAAGGTGGCTTGCCAAGGGAAAGACACGTGATCAGAGAGGCTTACAGCGGAAATACACAAGTGGGGGTCGCTCAGAGGAGGGACCATGCACACGGGAGGCACCTAGCCAACGTGCAGGCAATACACACTGGCGTCGGCGTCCAGTCCGTGGAGTGGAACGGTGAGCAAGCGAAGACACCTGAGCGGGTTCTAGTACTGGCTGGTTGAAGCGAGTACATGGGCGGACACTGGTACCACTCGAAGATTGTAGAATCTGGCGAATGTGTTTGGTGTCGCCCAGCCTGCAGCTCTGCAGATGTCTGTTAGCGAGGCGCCATGGCCTAGATCCCAAGAGAATGCCACACTCTGGGCACGGTCGACCTTGCTGCTGGTATGCCAAAGCAATAGTGTCCACTATCCAGTGAGACAACCTTTGCTTGGAGAGAGCCTTTCCCTTCTGCTTCCCACCATAACAGACAAAGAGCTGGTCTGAGGTCCTGAAACACTGCGTCCTGTCTAGGTAGGCATGAAGGGCACGTACTGGACAGAGCAGTGCCAAGGCTGGACCTCCTTCGGGGGCAGCGCTTTCAGGTTCACCACCTGGTCCCAGAAGGGAGTGGTAGGAACCATGGGCACATATCCAGGCCAGGGTTTCAGGAACACGTGAGAAAAGGCCGGCCCGAATTCCAGGCACACTTCGTCTACAGAAAATGCGTGCAGGTCACTGCCCTCTTAATGCAACCAGGAGTGCTGTCTTCATTGACAGGAGCTTAAGCTCCACTGATTGCAAAGGCTCAAAGGGAGTTAGTCAATATGCAGGGCAGTTAACCACTGAGGCCCCGTCCACACCACTGCGTTTTCGTTTAAAAACGGAGAATTAAAACGAATACGATCTCCGTCCACACCAGAGTTTTATCTGCGTATTAGAAATGATCTCCGTCCAAATTAAAACGACTGAAAACGCGGATCACGTGACCATTCACCAACACTGGGCATGCAAGTGCCAGTGTAAACAGTGAATGACGAATCAGGGAAGGATACGTCATGACTGATAACACCCAATCATAGAGCTGAGCGGGAGCCTCTGCGTCATCGCTTATAAACTCCTCCGTTTTGTCCCGTCCACACTAACACGCCCACCGGAGATTCAAAACGCGAAACGGAGCTGCAGCGTTTCTAAACTTCTCCGTTTTAGGTCTTCGTTTTTCCCGTCTTAGTGTGGACGGGAGGTGCAAACGTAGCAAAAGGTCTCCGTTTTTGAAAGAAGACGCAGTAGTGTGGACGGGGCCTGAGAGGTCCCAAGAGGGAACGAGAGGAGGACGAGGTGGATTCAGTCTCCTCGCTCCTCTCTGGAACCTGATGATCAGGTCGTGCTTCCCCACGGACTTACCTTCAATTGGGTCATTGAGTGACTCAGGAGGGTTTGAATGTGATAACTCAATGCAGCCAATCATGCGCAAAATAATTGGTTTCTCTTTGCATGAAGGCTCAATAAATTCCAACACATTATTAAACAATTGTCTGATTTCATGTTCATTGCTACTTACTTACAAAAAGTACAAACTATACTTGAAAAGAAAACATGATTGTTTAAAGCTGCTTAAAGGGGAAGTGATAATTAATAGTAAAAACAAACAAAAAATAAATATATGTGAAAGAAGAATGTATGTATGTGTGTGTGTGTGCGTGCGTGTGTGAGAGAGAGAGCAGAAATGTACAGTATGTACAATATGTGAAAGGAGAATGTCTGTGTGTAAGAGTAGAAGAATGGATTTTGGGTTGTAGAGCCTCTCATAGATTCAGGTGACGTTACAGC